TAGGGAAAACAGTGGGTTTCAGGCTCATGCTCGTGTTTTCCCCTGGAAAGGAAGTTTGGTCTCTAGGCTAGCTCGGTGGGCCACACTGCTAGAATTAACCCTTTGATCAAGGGAAATAAAATGGAAATAAATTTGACCTCACATTTTTATAAGCTTGAAAATGAAGGAATTGTAGTAGTTGGAGGTTTGGATTAAGCAGGTCTACCTGTAATTGTTGGGCTACTGAAGGAGAGTGTGCTGGGCTGGAAAACTGGTAAAGCTTTATCAAATGTAGGGGGAATGAAAGCAAGACATTAATTAGGAAAAAGAGATTATTTTACCACCCTACTAAATTTAAAAACTGTACTATATTTAGGTTGTAATTCTCTACGAACAGGGGAGTAATTTTCTCCCGCGTTATGTTTTCACAGAAATACAAAAGGAGTATTACATTCTATTAAGTTGCGTTCAAGTTTTTACAAGCCTATATTTTGAGAACTTTATTAATTAAAAATGACAGTTCATAAGAACACTAGAACTAGCACAAGATGTTGCAGGGGGGGAAGCAGTATAAAAGAAATAGAATCTCTTTGTTGATCTTTCTTTAGATTTTTAAAGCCGTGTTTCCATGTCCTAGATGGCAAAATTAACCACGGTCAAGGTCAGCAAATTCAGAAGCAGGTGATGAGCCTGAAACTCTTCAGTCTATATGAAACCCTTCCAATCAATACTATTGAAGTAATGAAGTTTAAATTAAGTGGAAATATCCATTGCCTTGCTATTTCAGCACAAGAGCAAATACGCAGCCTACTTGGATGACCCTGAGTTGGAATGGTCTCAACACTCTGAGCATTTTTGAGAATGAGATTAGTGCCAGGCTGGCAGTTGGAATAAATTAACGTATAAGAGTTGCCTGTGATCCTTAGTGAATAGAGAGTGCAACTCGCTGCTGCCTACTGAGATGGGTTCCTATGTAAGCAGCAAGCAGCTTTTGCCAAAGCCAGCGCAGGCCATTGAAACAGCCGCCCGGCTGGGTCTGGATTTTCTGTTTGTGTGATTCTGTTAACAGACTGTGCACTACAGAAAACAGACCACACCGGTCCCTTAAGCAGCCATCTGTTGAGCAGCAGGACCGCAGGCTGAGAAAATCTGTATTTATTTATCTAATGAGAAATGTGCAGAAAGTATCCCAGGTATGAACTGAAAATTAGTTTCCCAAAGCACGCTTGGGAATCCAGAGCTCTCCGAAATGTTTTTGTGTGGAGGTTGTTGCTTCCTTTGTCCCTTGATGTCCGCGTAGTGACACTACTGAAAATCACGCTATTGTTTTCAGGATTGCAAAGTCTTGCAGGGAGGGATTTTGCTATTATATAGTGATATCAAAAGTCTGTAGAGGGTGAGAGTTGCTAATGGATTTTCTGAAGTTTTGCAACACAAATTGCAGCGTGAAATTCTTTGCTGGAGGAACCTGAACAGCTCTCCTGAGTGACTTCTGTACCGTGCTTCCCTGACTAGAGGGAAGCTGGACACGAGAAGCTTGGGTTCAAAGCCAAATTATGCCGCTGATCTGTTTTTTTGTCATCTTGTGCAGTTTCCTTAGTCTTTTAACGACTGCTTTCTCCCTCCAGTCTTGTTTCATAGCTGGGTTCACTTGTCTATTTTAGTGTTTATATACTACCTGCACTGCGAGTTCCCCAAATATGAAGGTCTCTGGGTTCTAGCTTTTCTGACTTTTTACATCTTTAGACTACCACCATCTGTTCTCAAGCTTTGTAGATTACTGCTGAAATAACACAGGCAGCTGGCAGCCAGGTGAGTTCACATGAACCCACATTTGGTGTAGCACTGCTCTGCCAGTTCCTGGGAGCTGTTTTAGATACCTGATTTAAATTCTATTTTGTGTTTTGCATCTGGGTTAAACATGCACCTGAAACTGCAAAGACAATACAAAAAACCTTTGCAAGTCAAGCGATGTTTTCTTTACAGCTGAGGAGGGAGCACAAGAGTTTCTGTGTAGCTTGACCAGGTCATTTAAAGTTGGTGCAGCCAAAACCAGAGCCATGGTCTCCTGAACTCTGACACCAAGGCTAGTTGCTGCTTCTCTTGCTCTCTGTAATGAAAAACTATATTCAAGGTGGTATCACATATCTGATGTTTTCAAGCAGTGGAGTTGATGAATATCATTGCTATTTAAGTAAAGTCTCCCGTACCATTTTCTAAATAGGATCTCTTAGATTGTGCTTCCTAAGTATGTTTGAAGAACTAGTTGTGAATTTTTTCCCTGTAACTGTAGAGCACTCCACTGAAGTTACTCACGTAGAGTTCACTTTTACCTTTGGGTTTTGCTTATAGTTCAGGCACTTCTTCTGACCTTCACCTACCCACTGGATAAGAAATCTTATAAGCTGTCTTATGCTTTCCAAGTAGCTTCTCTGCTCGTGTTTATCGTGGTTGCACCAAGTCACAGCTTGCTTACTAAAACATGATGTGTGGTTGTATCTTGGGTAATTGCACTCATATTGTTGCTCATTAAAGTCAGTGAGTGACCTATGGGGTGCATACGTGCTGGTGTCATGCAGGTATGCAATCAGCTCCTTACTCTGACTAGCAACAGAGAAGCTATGTTATTCTGAGCGGGCAATGAACAGATGTACAGCTTTAGACAACAAAGTGTGGGTGAGCTTGAATCTGTAATATTCACAAAATTATATTTAAATTAGATTATTTCAGGTAGCTACTGCAAAATCAATCTGAACTGGCATGATGGTTACAAATTCTGCAGAAAAGAATTGTAAAAGGGCACCAGGGATTGAGAAAGCCGTCCTTGAGGGATTTGAAACCTGAGACAGCATGCACCATTAGATAGTGCTGGGGTAAAGCAAGTCACAGCAGTTATTTGCCTGTGTCTGCGTATGATACCGTACGTAGACATACTCATACCAGCTGTAGTCTGGTGAGTTCTGTCACAGCTATAGCTACGCGTGTGTAGTTACCGGAGTTCAGCAGCCTTGGACGGTACATGCTGAAGGCTGTTGGCTCTTCCTGGTAATTACTGAGTGTGCTGGCTAGCAAAGGCTAATAGGAATATTGCACTCTGTGCTGTAAGCTGTCCTTTGAGTACTGGATACGCATTCCAGTATTTAATAATATCTAGTGGATCAGAGAGCAGACAAAGGCAGATAAAAAATGCCAGTGTATTTTTATAATCATCTGAAACTCTACAATTGCTTAGAGCAGCTGAGCAGCATAATATTGTGCATCCTTTTCTTTTGCATCCCTAGGCTATTACAGTCATAAGGAAAATAATATTTTTCCCCATATCTTACACTGAAATTTTCATGTCTGCTAGTAAGAGTCTTGAGAACTCTGTAAACTGTTTTTTTTTCTCGTCATGTTATGTTTGAATATTTAATTCCCAAAATAGTCTTGTATCTAAGGGTACTTTTATTAGATCGGATTTCCTTGGTACATTCCAGATCATATGAGATTGTGTTTTGGCAGTAAATTGACAAAACTGAGTTTCTGGAGGAGAGAGAAGGGTGAACCCAGGAGTAATGCGAGATCTGCTACTTCATCTGAAAGGAAAAAAATATTTTACAGAATCTGTGATATCTACTGATTATAAAACTGCTTGCAGTGTACATCTGAAAATATCACCACAGCAGTTTTCATTTAAAGGCACAGTCTGTCATTAATGGACTGACTAGTTGATACTGCGTTTCTGTTCCTAGGCATTATTGGTGCAAGTCACTCTTTAATAGTTGTTAAGCAACCACAAAATTAGGAAATGGCAATTAGGCTGTGCGCTAAGGCAGTGCTGTGCAGGAAAAACCGCTGCCTAGGTCGGGTCCATGCATGCCGAAGTCATAGCCCCCATAAGAAGCAGGTGTTTAAGTATAAATAATTTGATTTTTATAGTTTCATTGTATACCAGTACTGTATTTGAAAATCGTTTAGTACTTGGTAGAAGGAAGAATGAGGTAAAAATCACTGGTGCTGGTGAAAAATAGGCAAGCTTCATGAGGTAACACATTGTGCGTTTCACTGCTGGACCAGAAGGAGGGAACGAACTGATGAGGACGCTCCAGGTAAGAAATAAGGCTTGCAAATATTAATTAGTGTAATGGTATTGAGGTTATCAGCTAAAGCCAGATGCCCTGACATCCACAGAGGAGAAGAGAGAGGATTATTTGTGAGGGTTTGATGGACACAGCAGTTCAGCTGAATACTAATGTATTCCTTTCTTTTCAAGGTGTCTACACTCCAGAACCACTCTGCAATTTCTGGTGGGCTCTTTTATCCACAGGGTTTATGTTTGTGTATCATTTTAGCGTCTTGCAGATTCTGGGATTGGTAAGTAAACACAGGTTAATAAATGGAGAGTTTGCAAGTACATTGAAAGTAAAAACACTGGCTTGTTTTTCAAAGTGTCCAGATACGTATGGATAAGACTGCATGCAAATTCTTAATTGCATGTTCTAATGGACATTTGTATCATATCTCACAAGTATTGGTAAAGTATTTCATAAATGGGTTATGTACCTGCATAAATCCATCTATTAAATGCACAACGGAATTTGGATCTGCTTTCCTTCTGAAAGCTGCCCTACTTGTGGTGAACAAAGGATTGTCCCCGAAACATTTTTGGTTATGATGGTAATTTCAGAATTACCATTTTAGGTGTCTGAATCAGTGCAACACAAAGAAGTTGTTAATTTGTAAATTTGTTGTCACTTTCCCAGGTTACAGAAGTGAATTTGAACAACATGTTGTGCCCAGCCATCTCAGATCCTTTCTATGGGCCCTGGTATCGAATCTGGGCATCTGGACATCAGACTCTCATGACCATGACTCACGGGAAGCTCATAATCCTGCTGTTTCACGGTGCTGTCCCCATCTTTAAAAGTAGCGTGGACTTGCTTAGACTCCCAGCTAAGAAAATAGACTGACATCTCTCCCCACGGAGTTGTGTACACAGGAAGCAGAGATACTGGAAAACAAAGAGGAGGGATGAGAGGACAATGTGTTTATACTTCTCCCCACAGTTTATTGCCTCAAAAACACCTCTGTCGTGAAGTGAGGTTTTTTTTAACTGCTGTTTCTCACTGCCTATTGCCAATGGCAAAATCAGTGGCCTTATTCTGGAAAAGGTTCGTGTTTTATACATTTTACATGGATTACAGTGGAATCTTGCTAAGCCACCGTTTAAAATTAGGCCAGGATCTGTCCACATTCCAGCAAAAAAGTGGCAGTGCTACCTCGTTTTGACTTATTTTCTATTAAATGTAAGTACACTTCTATCACAGGACAGGAAATAAAGCTGAATTGCAACACTCCCCTGATGTGAACAGAATGCATCTTGAAGTCCATCGCCCTGGCTTGACTCTTTGTACTTGAATGTTGCAGAATGGTCACAGTGAAACGACGTACGCTTATTCTCCCAGCCATTAAGTGCAAAACAGTGAGGTTCTACTGTATTTTCTTTAAGCTGGTTGAAAATGTTGGGGAACAATAACTCATTTGGAATTTTTTTTAATTTCTTTTTTGTCAATTGACTACTTAATTTCTGAGCTGCTGGGGATAAATATCTATCTGGCTAAGTCCCATCAGATCTTGATGTTTTGGAGATGGGTTTATTTGAGTGGAAAAACACCATGTTGAAATAATTTCAAAAGCCTATGTTACATACAAGCTATGATAAGATATTTCATCTGCTGTTCTGACCTCACTTTGAACAAAATGTTTTTTTCACTTAGCTTAGACTGGAGAGGGAGTGGAGATACAAAGCCCAATGTAAACCTCAGCGTTTTCTTTTCTTTCTTACTAGCTTTTGAAACATCCCTCCTCTGTGTTCTACACTGATCCTCACACAGTGGAGTGGTTGGTGAAGACACAAAATGTTCTCTCTCTACAACTCTAATACATTTCGTATATTGATTTTTAAATACAGGTATTAAAAGGAACGTCAAATCAGTGCAGGCCTCTACTGAAAAGCACGTGTTCCAGTTTACTGGTATGACTAAATCTTCCTGTCCACCCGTCATTTGGAGAACGGGATGGAGCGAGGCAGAAATAAGCAGTAAACGCGTGTACCTGCTCAAGTTTTCCAAGGCTAGAGGACAAACTGTTGGGCAGACGGATGGGGAATCTCGAGGGTGTTCCTCCAGATAGATAATTGAGTCTGTTATGCAGACTTGTGTTTCAGGGCTGCAGGAATCTTGTTGTAGAAAAGTTTGCTGCAATTTATAGATTCATTGCGTTGTCAAAGCTGTGACTTGTAAGATAAAACAAAACCATCATACCTCCTCCAGCTGGATCGCCTGAAGATATATTCTGAAGTTAAGGTCATTTATACCTCAAAAAGAAACAGTAAGAATGACAAGTGGTTGACGTTTTTCTTTTTCCCCTTAAGGAAAAATTTTCAGTGGAGAGAGAACAAATGGCTACTTCCAATATCTTCACTCCGTGTGATTAAAAAACAAAAATGTACACCTCAATCGGAAATATGTTGTCCCACGTTCTAATTTACAAACTGGTTTCTGGCTTTCTTCCATGTCTTGCCGTGTGTGTGTCTATATATATATATATATATATATGTAATAAATATATGGCACTTTCACGACTTGCCGACGTGTGACAAACACCTAAACTATCCATTGAACATGCATAGCTAGGTTCAGTTACACAGGATCCTTCTCTTTTTACTCAGAATTCAACTTCAGAAAGCAAAGCATCTGATAATAAGAACTGCCAGCACAGACAGTGAACTGTCAGGTGTGGATCCAGCAAATGCCGGAGTGTATCACTTCAGCAGAGCAGGGCAGGTGCTGCTTAATTCTTTGTGGAGTGGGGCCTAAAGAAAGAAGGCATCGGTGTGGAAGGCCCGAGTCCGTCGGTGGCAGGCCACTCGATGCGCTGCTGGAGTGACGGAAGCTCTGGCTGTTGATTTCGGCAGATTCGGAGTTGCAGGGTGAGGCGGAGGATGTTGCTGGGAGGTGCCGGGATGCGCAGTGCTGGGTGTTAAAGTGTGCTGCCTGTGAATGTGCGGCATCTCCTCGGGACAGCTGAGTGAAAGACACAGATTGTGCCCTCCCCATGGGGACTGTCAAGTGTACCGTGGTTTGCTTATTTACTGAAGAATTTGGCAAAATGCCTTATGTTGGATTCAGTCCTGTTTAGAGGGATGTTTGGTATTACAATAGGATGATTTTTGCCAAATTTTGCAAATGTTATTTAGCATTATTATTTGCTTAACTTTACCACTTTTTGGGTGTTTTTTTAAAGAATCTTTTTTGTTTCTTATTTTTTTTTTTCACAACTTTGTAGCTGCTGGAAAAATTTCTGAGTTATTTTGAAAATAAGCAACCCCCCCCCCCCCCCCCCTTAACTACAGCATTTCCTGTCTCTAGTCATATGCTCCAGGGCATTCTAATGAAGTATAAAACAGCTGCTTTTTGCAACCATTGGCTGCCTCTGGTCAATTAAGACTGCAGAAGTATTTAAATAAGCTCAGGTGTCTCTCCCAGTGCAGGCTGATGCTTGGAATGCAAAATCTGTGAGCCCTTCTGCCTGACTTAGAATTCAGTAGTGGGAATGGCAATGTGAAACGCAGTTAACAGGACGGCAGTCCCTGGGGCCGTTCGGATGGAAGGATTCTCATCGTAGCTGTACCCCTTGCACCATCGACTTCTGACAGCAGAGCCACTGTAGGTGACTGCTCCTGCCTTCCTCCCACCCCCCATCATAGATGTCTGCTTCCGTCACTGTGCTGAGACTCCTGCTTCTCTCTGTTGTGCTGGTCCAGTTGTTCGGAGTCACGCTGGAAATTTCAGGCATCATTTCACAGCGTGGAGTGTGCTTACAGAACTACTCATCAAAGCCAACGGGGTGCTCACAGTCCCCTTCCAGACCTCACCAGTGCAGGTTCTGGAGCTTATTGAACTCTTCTATGCCAACTGAAGTTGCTAAAATGGCTAAAAAGTAGGGAGGTAAACGAACTACTAAGTAAGGATTTTAGAAGCATTGGAGCTGCCGTAAAGGAGTTGAGTGGGGCAACTGGAGTCGGGAGGGAAGGCAATGGAACCTTCACCTCTTGTTGATGGTAAGCTGTTGGCTCTTTGCTTGTTGTACAGTAGCAGTGAAGCTGGCTGAATTCGAATAGAATCATTTAGGGGGGGAAAAGACCCTTAAGACCATCGATTCCAACTGTAAACACTGCCCAGTCCACCACTAAACCATGTCCCTAAGTGCCACATCTGCATGTCTTTTAAATACCTGCAGGGAGGGTGACTGCACTACTTCCCTGGGCAGCCTGTTCCAGAGCTTGACAGCCCTTTTGGCGAAGAAATGTTTCCTAATATCTAATCTAAACCTTCCCTGGCACAGCCTGAGGCTGTTTCCTCTCTTTCTATCACGTGTTACTTGGGGGAAGTACAGCCTCCTTTCAGGCAGTTGTGGAGAGCGAGAAGGTCTCCCCTCAGCCTCCTCTCTTCCAAGCTGAACACCCCCAGTTCCCTCAGCCGCTCCCCATGGGACTTGTGCTCCAGACCCTGCACCAGCTTCATTGCCCTTCCCTGGACATGCTCCAGCACCTCAGTGTCTTTATTGTAGTGAGGGGCCAAAAAGTTAAATTATTCCCTCGCCCCTTTTTGAAGACCTTTTAAACATAGTGTTTCATTTTGGTCTATGGTATGGCACCAGAAGAAATTGTATTGGCACAGCTGAGAGGGAAGTGTCACAGAAGGTGAAGAATGAGTCGGAATGGGAGCAGAAAGGGAACCAGCTTCTGAAGGTAATGTTGTGGAACTTCATGTCCTTTATTCCTCAGCTGGCTCCAGTAGCTGTTTGGAATGTGCGTCAGACAGAGCTTGTTCAGTGTGCAGGATACTGGTTTGAATGGGAAAGCACAATTCTTCATCTCCGTAGGGTTTATTTATTCTCCTCCCTGGTAAAGGCCAATTTTCTTTTCCCTGGATGGCTTATTTTATAGGCAGTTATGCTATACGCATGACTTCTTTAGTTGCTTTTATGCTTATTTATGCTGGAAATTAAAAGAGCAAAACTATACTGCTCTTCTTGACAGCTAATTGGCATTTTCTCCTGTGAGATGACGCACACAGTCTGTGTCAGGATAACTTGAAGCTGTTGCCCTGTAGCTGGTGATGAGATTTCACACTGCTGCAGTGTACACGTGGAAGGGCAGTCCGGGTCCTGCCCCATCAAATGGTCTGAAATCTTCTGTCACAGTACGAACAGCTACGAACACATCAGCAACAGCTGTGGGCAGAGCAGCCCGGTCCCTTCAGCAGCAGCGTACGCCGAGTGTCAAATCTCACCCTGAAGTGGATGGATTTGCTGCTCACTAGCAACGTGGGCACAATACCAGAAAAATTCCTGGTGCGATGTGGATGCCTGGACTTCACCGAGCTGTTGGTATGTGCTAAGGTGTCGGAACAGAGCCCTTTACTCTCCTCGTGTTTAGTACTGTAGGCACCCAAACAAAAGAAATAAGGAGCGATGAATTTGATTACCAGTGAATGTCTGCCTCCAAACATGTATATATAAATGAAACATGATTAACTACAATAAACTCATTTACTGATTGGTTTATGAAACCTTAAAGTAAGCAGAAAAGTGAGCTGGTAAAGTTTCTGCACCCACCATAACATCTGGCGCTTCAGGCTGTGAGTCTGGAGGTTATTGTGCCCAGGGCACGCAGTGCTGTTTGTCGGGGACTGAGACACCGCGGGCAATGTTTGAGCTCGATGGGTTTGTTTAAATTCCTCCTCTTTAAGCACCAAAGAAGAATTTGCGTCTTGTTTCTTTCGCAGGGTGACCGCGAACAGCTCGTGTCCACGCTGGTATAGCTCACTGAAAGCCACGGGCTAGGCACACACCCCTGTGCTTTGGTTCATGGGGCTTGCCAGGCGCTGCTCGTAAGCCAAGCCGCCGCGCGCTGGAGCAGCGG